CCACCTGACAGCTCGGGTGATGCTGACCGCCTCTGACGACTGCTCTGTCAACGTCCACATTTTGTCAGACTTCCTCGGCCTATTGCACCCAAAATATGTCACCTGCGATTTTTTTTTCCCGTGTTCGGGGAACACAAATTAATTAATTACATCATCACTGCCAGGTTCTAGAGGTCCAATTGTCTCCAGAACCTGGAGGCAATCTCCAGAGTCTATTCAGGTGATGTAGTCACTCCATTGCAGTCCCGGTAGCGTAGTGGTAAGACTATCGCGAGTGATTTGGCCTGGGTTCGTATCCTGGCTAGGGAGGATTTACTGGGTGCCAGTCCTTAATTGTAGCCTCTGTTTATCCAAGAGTAAAATGGGTGCCTGGTTGTTAAACGATTTGGCGAATCATATTCCAGGGAATATTAGAATTAAAGACTTGCCCGAAATGCTATGCGTGCTAGTGGCTTTACAAGAATGTAAGTACAGTGGTACCTCGCATAACGATCGCCCCAAAAGACGAACATTTTGGGTAACGAACGGCCCGATCGGCGTCAAATCGTCCCGTATGACGAACGCTGATTTGAGTAACGTCAACACCACATGGTGGGGTCACGCTGCTTCTTGCACATTCTTAGACGCCTCCGATGATGCACATAAATTATGTTGTTCTTGTTTAAAGATGCTAATGATGCTGGGATATAAAGGGGTGACTGCTGAGATGTTGCAAAGCATTGACGTTTTTGTAGGAAAAAGAAATGAAATGTCTGATATACAACAAATGTCAAAAAGGTTTGTTCGGTGTTCGGCAGGTAGGCTGCTCCATTATAACAATCTTGCTTTGTTTCAAATGTGTTCCATTTGTTTTGTATTTGTCATTTACGTCGCAATAATGGAGCAGCCTACCTTACATATACACTCAACAAACCATTATGACATTTTCCTTTCTTCAAATGTGTTCAATATTTATTTTTCATTTGTCTTATAGCAAAAGGTTCGTTCGGTGGTCGGCAGGTAGGCTGCTCCATGCTTCTTACATACAAAAAACGTAGATAATAAAAAAATTAAGAATTTTGAAAACCAGTACAAATGTCAAAAAGGTTCGTTCGGTGGTCTACAGGTCGGTTGCTCCATGTTTCTTAAATAAAAAAATAAAAGAACTGTTGAAACAATTTGAAAAATGGACAAATGCCATAAAGGTTCGTTCAGTGTTTGTCGGGTAGGCTGCTCCATTATTGAGACGTAAGTGACAAATACAAAACAAATGGAACACATTTGAAACAAAGAAAGATTGTCATAATGGAGCAGCCTACCCAACAAACACTGAACGAACCTTTTGCTATAACGAATATGAAAGACTAGGGCTGCTGGCTGGGTTAGTACTGCGTGAGCAACCATTTGTGGCACACGTGCCTCTGGCTCTCAAACACCTGTCCGACACGATGTTGAAAGACTGTGCTCAGTCGGTGAAATTCAGACCCTATTGTTTGAAGAACATATGGGTCATAACATTGGTGAAGCTAGGCACAATAAGGGCTTAACACAACGGTCGGATGCCAGTGATACAGCACCTATGAGGATAATACAGCGAGCGTCTCCAGTTGTAGCTCTGAGCCCCACCCTTGCCATCTCCAATTTATACAGATGATGCATAGATGAATCGTTTTCTGCGTTCAGTGATGATGCATCTGATACAAGTAGCATACAAGTGATACAAAATGACAGGTTGGATAACAAGAACTTTTCACACTAGAGATGCTATACCGATGATGATACTTTTCAAAACGCTTGTGCTCTCTAGAGCGGAGTACTGCTGCACAATGACAGCCCCTTTCAAAGCTGGAGAAATTGCTGACCTGGAGAGCGTGCAGAGATCCTTTACTGCTAGAATCCACTCAGTAAAGCATCTAAACTATTGGGACCGACTAAAGAGCCTAAAACTGTACTTCCTTGAGCGCAGGCGGGAGAGGTACATAATAATTTACATGTGGAAAATATTAGAGGGGCTGGTCCCAAACCTGCACAGAAATAACATCACATGAGACCAGAAGACATAGGAGGATGTGCAGAATACCCCCGTTGAAAAGCAGAGGTGCAACAGGTACTCTGAGAGAGAACTCAGAGGCCCGAGACTGTTCAACACGCTTCCACTACACATAAGGGGCATAACTGGCCGACCCCTCACAGTGTTCAAGAGAGAACTGGATAAGCACCTCCAAAGGATACCTGATCAACCAGGCTGTGACTCATACGTAGGCTGCGAGCAGCCGTGTCCAACAGCCTGGTTGATCAGTCCGGCAACCAGGAGGCCTGGTCAACGACCGGGCCATGGGGACGCTAAGCCCCGGAAGCACCTCAAGGTAACCTCAAGGTAAGGTAGCATAGATGAACAGTGTTAGCGGCTTCCATGGTGGTGTTGTTCATAGATATTTTCAAGAATACCTGAATCTCTTCCTGACTGATGGACACTCTTTGAGGCTAGCTGAATCTCTTCCAGTGTGGGACCTTACAAAGCGATCTTTTCAAGACTACCTTACAATGTGAGCTTTTCCTATAATCGTTTCAATACTACCTTATGCTTTACAAGCTTGGCTACATACCACCTACAAGTACTAAAGCCAAGGGTGCACGCGAGTGCGTTATTTGCAAGCACACAGAACGATGAAACAGGAAACGAAAATCTATCTGTAGCTGGTGCAAGGAGAGCAAAGTCGCGCTGTGTACCATGGACTACTTCGTTGACTATTCCGCACCTCCAAAGTACTGAGTGTGTAATACCGTGTGTTACTGTGTAAATAGTATGTGAAACTGTACATATTGTAATTTTAGTGAATTTTTACCACATAATATTGTGACAATAAACATTTATTGTGGACACATTACTGACACATGTATCACAGTTCCATGGAAAATTATGAACATTCTACTGTATACATATTGTAAAGGTCACAAATATGCATCATATACAATAAAGGAAACAAATAAAACCGCATTGGAAATGCATAGAAAAAATATTTGAAAATATATTTGTGGCAACACGCGGTGCTTGAATGGCCCGCGCGGCCATCATCTGGGTGCTTCACACACGGGCGACCAGGCCCTGATGACATCACAGCGCACCTTGTCCACGCCCTCACAGCCAAAGTAAGTGGAATTTGGTAATTATTTTTACATAGACATTTTCAGGGACGGTAATTTATCATTTTACAAAGAAAAATTATGTTTTGGGGAACATTTGATGTCATGCACACTGGAGGAATTTCACAATAAACACAGTGCATCACACTGGTTACATGGGGGACACTCGTTTTGTATGACGTCCGTTTCACATGACGAACATGGAACGGATTAAATTCGTTACTCGAGGTACCACTGTACTCTTGTATATATATATAAGTAAAGTAAAGTGAATATTGCCTCAAAAGGATTTTCATTGATACATCATGCCAGTATGATTTCATTGTGCATTATTATTATTATTTAAATGACTCAATTTAATTTTCTATTTTCTATGGTCATTGATGTATTGGGGTGCATTAATGGTATAGTTTTGGAACAGGAAGGGGGGTTGGGATAATATTTGAGAAAAGCCAATAACCAATGCTGAGTAAGCAACATGGGAGCCAACAGAAATTCTGGCTTATGAAAAGGTGTTTGAGGTCCTGTTAAGAAAGCCAAGACCCAGCTGGAACAGGACTGACTGAGGGAGTGAAAGGGAAGTCATCCCAATATCCCATACTAGGCCTAGCCAAGTCAGAACATGTAAAGGCACCAATGAGGATTTCTGCTAGTTGACTAAAATTGGAAGCAAGCCAACTAAGGAAGGAACTAGATCCCTGGCAAGCAGACAATTTGAATGACTTCGAGACCAAACCAGCTAGTCATTATGGCAGGCCAGAATGCAGATTCCTAGAAGACAAAGACAATAAAAAAAAATGTTAATCAATCTGGTGATGATCCTGGGAGTCAGCACTACACCGTCGCCAGGACATATCACAAAAGGATGGGAGGGGAAAATCCCAGCCAACTACCAAACCCAAGTTGAATGCTGACATTGAGCCCTACCTATGGTGCTGCCTGGTGTTTGAGGTTTGGCCCGTGTCTAACACAGGCCAAGTTACACACCCCAGGATGGCTAACACCCTTGGATCCCTACCCCAGCCATGCCCACAAGAAGGGTGGACACTGAACTGCCTCAAAGATGGGACCAAAGCTACTAGCCAATAAACCTGGCTGAGCAGCTGAAAGAATGCACCCATGGTCAGTTAAAACCAGTGAAACAACTATTTCATGGAAAAGGAGAGAAGAAAATAGGGTAGAGAACAGGAAGGAGATCCATTAAGCAGATTACTAGAGAGAATCTAACACTGAACAAAAATTGGACACCTAACTGCATAGAAATAGACAACCACATCTTTCAAGGACAGCACAAACAACAGGTAAAACGGCATCCTCAGTCACAGTATGAGAACACAGCATAAGTGGAAAGACTGTAAATGGGACAGAGATAATTTTGGAACTGTTTGGAGAAAATCTCTTGCACTAGAAAAGAGCAGAAGATCTCTGCTAAACTACCACCACCAGTGTCTCAGATTGTAACTGGCAGCTGGTCAGGACTTGGAATGACCTGAGGGTCACCCATAGTAGCAATCAGTTGCTGTATTTGCCTCAGGGTTCATTTCTTTCTTTCAAGTAATTGCTCGTTTTGTTTTGCCTAACTTTTAGATTTGATTCATCTCAGTTTCGGGTAGATCTGTGATGCCCAAGCTGCCCCTCACCTCATCGAGAGTGCTAAATTTTGGTCCTGGCTCAATGGAGGTCAGCATGGGTCTCTGAGGTCTGGTGTGATTCTGAAGGCTTGACTATGCCTGTGCCTAAGTTGCTGGGAGACACTGAGGGGCCCACTTAACAAGGGCACTTCATTATATTATAAGCTTGATTTATGCTTTACCATTTTACACCTGTATTCTTTCACATGTTGCACTAGTGTGTTTAAATGTCCATTTCCTTTTCAGGTTTAATCAGCAGCATCAAGGTCTTCGTTTTGGAGCATTTGTATTTGGGCCAGTGGTAATGCGAATGTATTATTACCTAAACCAACCTGATGCAGCTTTGGCGGTAGGTGTTAAATGATGAAGATTCATTTGTATGTTAGCAAGTTAACACTTTAGCTGTAGCAGTTGTTGATTGTACCAAGATTCATGATATTTTCCTTACTCTTTAGATACATAGTGTATACAGTTTTTATGCATTGAAACAGTCTGGAGAATTTAGCTTTGTGCTATGAGTTGAAAGACAATCCTTATTGTAAAGGTAAAATAAGTGTTGATCACTAATTAATTGGTTAAACTGATAACATGTTTCATCATGTTTTAGATGTTAGTGAGTATTAGATGGCTGTAGTTCAAGGTGCAACTCATTCTTAAAACAGCTCAAATTTATTCAGTGTGGTAGTCATTTTCCTTTTTTCATGTGAAGTGTAGTTCTCATGACACAAGTTAAACAACTACATTCAAGCTTCTCAAAAATAGCTTGTCTTACTTTCAAGTAATCAAAATGTATTCTTCAGAATGATTAACACTTCAGACATGTAATTATGCAGCTTGAAATGAGGCTATGATCAAAGGCACCTCTCTACATGTGTGCAAAAAAAATAATGGCATTGAATGTAATGAAACGCCTCTCTCTGGTCAAGCCAAGATGGCTTCATACTACTGAGTCACATCAGTTGCAGGAGTCCTATTTGGTCTACTGGAGAGCAGAGCCAGAACCTAGCACCCTCAAAGGCAAAGAGAAAATCATTATAATAATTATAATATATCATTATTATAATCAGGATTATAATAAACTGGATTATTATAATCAGCCTCACCATGAAAGCATTCAGAAAGTCAGCAAAGCACGACAGACAATCGCAAGATTCATAGAAAACAAAGCATCAGTTTTTAGTAAAAATACTCAACAAACAATTCAAAACAATCTGTTCACTCGAAACTAGCTCAGACTCATTAGTACCAATGACCACCACTTGGCAGCCTAAAGCCATTGACCTACAGCTAACTCCCAGGTAGTTCAGAGCTGATGCATGATGAATCAATGAATCTAATAGGGAGTGAGGGAGTCAAGGAGCCACTGAGGCTCAACCAGAAAGAGGTAATTCATTACATTCAACACGTGTTTTCTGGGCAAGTCCCTTGGTGGTGTAACCCTAAAGCTAAATAACTACAGAAAAGTAGTAAACATGGAACTTACCAGGAATGAGGAGAGAGGCATGTTCTAGATTGAAGAATAGATGGTGGGTCGGAACCGACTGGGACCAAGAACATTAACCACTGTGTTGTGCCGGCTTTAACCCTTAGACCGCGCAATACATATATAGATGATTTGAGTAACATTACTGATACCGCGCAATACATTAATAGCTGTTTTAGTGTCTAGCGATTTAATTTAAACGCCCCGCGAGGTATAGGGGCAGCTATAGTGCAGCCACAACCGATAGTTGGCAGATGCTGCTTAGAAAAAAAATCGTGGCAACATTCCTGGGTGTGAGAGCCTCAGTACTGAGCGAGCCACCAAGGCTGACGCACGCAGCATGAGCTCACAGCACCGCTGTTCAGCTTGTGACCACAGCATCGCCTAAAAAATGTCAAAATATATATGTACATGCTTTTATTTAGCGATGATAGTATTACAGAAGACCCTTGACTGATAAAACTGACCAAGATTCTGATAATAGCAGGATTGTGGTGATATTTAGCACTGTGCTCTATGGTGGGAAGAGTAATGCTGAGGGAGGAAGGGTGGTGGTGTCGTCTTCTGACTGTGCGTGGCCATCTTTTATTGACTGGACTCACCATACCAGCTTAGTGGTTTGCTGTGGTGAACACAAATGTAGATACTTATATATAATGTGTGTATAGTGTAATAACAGCAATAGGAGTATGTTGAGGTGAGGGAGGTGCGTCGTCTGCACAACTTATGTTGTTTACTGGTGGCCTCTATGGTCTTTGGGCACCATATCAGCTTATTTGTACAGGTATGGTGAATAAAACAGGTAGATACTTACATATAATGTGTATATATATAGTGTAATAACACCACAAACAGTATACAGAGCACCACTTGGTTTCCGAACCCCTTGGGGACGAGACCCGTCGGTTAACATGTAAGTTCGTATACGAGAAATAGAGGGGAAAAAATAAACTAGAAATGTAAAAAGAAATTTTTCCGAAAAATTTATGAAAAAAACTCTAGGGGAAAAAATCGTCAGGTTCATGGCGTAAATGCGACCGTGTTTTGTTTGTACTCATCAATAAGTGAAGTCCTGATCCGCTTTATAAAAGTCCTTAATTGTTCCTAACTGATTATTAAGACGTCTGGCAAACATCCTCTGGATGTTTCCTGCCAGCCTGCAGGCACATCCTGCCTAAAATATACGATGATGTACTGTACATTTAAGAAACAAATCTGGGTCACAGGTCTGTGGAGTGTGGCTAGGCTTACGGAGTCAGCCGGTCCCTCCCCCACCACCGACACACCTCCCCCTCTCCCCCCACCACCGACACACCTTCCCCTCTCCCCCCACCACCGACACACCTCCCCCTCTCCCCCCACCACCGACACACCTCCCCCTCTCCCCCCACCACCGACACACCTCCCCCTCTCCCCCCACCACCGACACACCACCCCCACCCCCCACCCCAAACCCATACACACACATACACACACTCTCAAAGGTCACGTGGTTCACAGTTCACTTCAACACCCATATATCGCTTCCTGCCTGCCTGCCTCCTTCCCAGCCTGCCAGCCTGCTTCCTTCCCAGCCTGCCTCCTTCCCAGCCTGCCAGCCTGCCTCCTTCCCAGCCTGCCTCCTTCCCAGCCTGCCAGCCTGCCTCCTTCCCAGCCTGCCAGCCTGCCTCCTTCCCAGCCTGCCAGCCTGCCTCCTTCCCAGCCTGCCAGCCTGCTTCCTTCCCAGCCTGCCTGCCTGCCTCCTTCCCAGCCTGCCAGCCTGCTTCCTTCCCAGCCTGCCTCCTTCCCAGCCTGCCTCCTTCCCAGCCTGCCAGCCTGCCTCCTTCCCAGCCTGCCAGCCAGCCTGCCTGCCAGCCTGCTTCCTTTCCAGCCAGCCTGCTTCCCCCCCTGCCATCATGCTAACGGGTAGTGTGTGTTAGGCTTATCTTCGGGAATGAGCCGGTCTCACCCCCACCACCAACAAACCACCCGCCCCCCCTACATCCCATCTCTCAAGGTCACGCGGTTCAACCGCGTGACTAACACTCACTCCCTGCCTGCAAGCTAGCCTGCCTGCCTTCCTGCCTGTCTGCCTGCCTGTGCCTGCCTGCCTGCCTGTGCCTGCCAGCCTGCCTTTCCCTCCCTAATTCTCACTACTTCCATCCCTTCCTGCCTACCTCCTAGCATCTCTCCCTACCTCCCCCTCCCTCTTAGCATCTCTCCCTACCTCCTAACATCTCTCCATACCTCCCCCTCCCTCCTAGCATCTCTCTCCCCCCCTCTCTCACTGATTCTCCCCCTCCCCTCATTCATACTGCCTCCCACCTCAGCTCCATCGTCCATCCACCCACCAGTCAGCCATCACTGACGCAATGCGTGCATTTGGAGCCAACATGGTGCACAGATGTTTCTTGATTGTGCAGATATGTAAAACAAAAGCACAGAATGAACATTCCAGCCTTATGGCAATTCAAAATAATAGGAATAATAGGCCGTGAATCTGTGAAGTCACAGTGGGCAAACTGGACCATCGCCCACCCATCACCACAAGCCGGCGTGACGCTTGGTGGACCCCTTCCTACCCGAACTTTGTTCGGGTAGCATGACTCCCCAACCCCAATCGGGAAACTGGAAGTTTCGGATAACTAAAGTTCGGAAACCAAGTGGTGCTCTGTAGTTGGAGGAGAAATATTAGTGCGTCTGGCCTTGAACCAGTGACGGCAACAGCCACAAGCTGACTGTGTGTCTCTTATTGCTTGAATTCGCCATACAAGCTTAGATGTACAGTTATGGTGAACAAAACATGTAGATACTTATATTTAACATCTGTGTATAGTGAATGAAAGCAAAAACAGTATAGTCGGAAGAGTATGTTGGCGAGTGAGGAGGTGAGTGAGGGAGTAATGGCGAGCGGCTGACTGGCTGGTGAGTGCAGGCCACTCTTCATTGCGTTTTGACTCACAATAACAACTTAGTGGTTCGTTATGGTGAACAGAACATGCAGATACGTATATATAACCTATGTATATAGTGTAATAACAGCAAAACTATTTATTTATTGTTTTATGAACATAATTGAATCACTAATATGAACACAATAATTTTGAGTACAGTGATGGTTCACACATTTTATTATATAAATATATCACAATACACACTATTGAATAATATTACTGCAAAAAAAAAACAAATAAAAAATCAATCAGACCTTGAAATAATTAGGTGATAATATCTTTGTGGCAGCCCCCGCCTGACAGCTCGAGCAGAGCAGACCTCGTCTGGCGACTGCTCTGTCAATGCCTCTTTTCTGGGGGGAGACCCCCTACAACTCCCCGGAGCTTACTAGGCTGATATGCTAATGTCAGACTTTGGCATCAGTCATGTGTATGGAGTTCTTAAGGGCCTACCGGAGACCACGAGCCAGAACCTGTCCCCCTCTAGAGAGGCAAGGGGAGCAATGGCCTATAGAAACCCCCGTGTGATTGGAAGCATTCTATGTCTTCCATCGACTGGGTTAGGCACCCAGTCTCGGGCAACCTCGGGGAATGCCCCAGCCAGTGTGGCAACGGAGGCATTAGAGTCTCCTTCCTCTGCCGAAGCCTCTGGGTCTGGCCAGTGGGCCTCATTCTATCCGGCTTCTACGGCTGCGCTGGCCTTGTAATTACCTAAGTGTAGTTACAAGATGAGAGCTACGCTCGTGGTGTCCAGTGCCCCACCAGACAGTGACTGCCGTCACTGTCTGGTGGGGTCGGTGCTTGGGAGGAGGACTTGGCTCTGGGTCCTGCGGAGGAGGACCCTGGGGTTGGGGAGGGGCTGACTTGGTGACCTTGGGCCCAGCTGGACCCCGCCTGGGTTTTTCTGCCCTCTGAGCAGGGCTTACTGTTCTC